AAAAAAAAAGATACACCAACTCGATATTGATAAAAGAGTAAACTAACATCTTTGACTATTAATGCTGAAGCAGTAATTTAAAAAAATGATACATAACGGGTGGGGCAAAATTTTTGCATTAATTTTCTTTTTGTTTCGGTTTCACATGGGAACATTCAAGACTGTTCATTCTTTTTTCGTTAGCAAGAGCATAGTTAGTGTAGAATACATATATATATATATCGTCTCATTTGTCCCACGTGTTTCTGATTGAGACGAAGAAGGAAGAAAGAGAAGCACTAAGATTATGTCGCGACTTTTTAATAATGACACTGCTGCTGGTAATTTGAAAACTACATGGGGTTTTTTTTTTAACAAGAAGGTTATTGTTATTCAACTGTATATCGAATCATCCAACGATATTCACAATTTAAAACCACAAAAGATTTATCAAAATCTGGTCGTCCACGAAAATTGAACAACCAACAAATGAAATCTATAGCATTTACTGTGAATAACAATAGTGGTATTAGTCATGAAATCTTATCAAGATATTATAATATTGATTATAGAACAATTGGTAGAAATTTAAAACAACAAACAAATATTCGTTCAAGAAAACGAATTAAAGCATAGAAATATGTTAAAGATCAGGATAAGCGTGCACAAAAACGTTGTGGATTTTTATATTGTCATATTCCGAACAATTGTTTTATTGTTATGAACGATAAGAAATATTTTCGTTTAAGTGGTGTTGATATACCTGGAAATTCATTGTACTATACAAGTGATCCTTCTACTACATCAACAAATATAAAATACAAACAACATCAAAAATTTTAATATGGTTAGCAGTATCTGCTAAAGGATGTTCAAAACCATATACATATAAGCAACAATGCTGTAATTGGTGATGTTTATTTAAAACAATGCATACAACGTCGATTAATTCCTTTTGTCAAAAAGAAACATTTAAAAACAAAATTCATATTCTGGCCTCATTTAGAGAAGGCACATTATACACCACAAGTTTTACGTACATCAGAAGTAAATTGAATACCTTTTGTACCAAAGGAAAAAACACCCTGCCAATGTACCTCAAGTACGACCCATTGAAGATTTATAGGATATGCTGAAACAAATGATGTATGCACAAAATTATGAAGCAAAAAATTTAGATCAACTTGCTAGTTGAATAAGAAAAAAAATTCGAGAAGTTGATAAAAAAAAATGTTGCGAGAAATGATATTAAGTATTCATAGTAAACTTCGAAAAATGTGGCGTGAAGGTGTTTTGCCAACTTGTCACTAGATATTTTTTGTACTTCGAACATTGCGCTTTGTAATAAAAAAAAACCTTGAACTTGAACAATGTTTCCTTGAGAAGCAGTAACACAAGCAAAATTAATGCAAAACTTTTGTCCCACCCGTTAGTAGTAATTCATGGTTAAATTCTTCTTCCTTGATCTGTGTATATAATAGTTATTACAATACAATTCTCATCAGACATCATAGTACTAGGTGGGAAATAATATTTTGATAGGGGAGTAACGCTATAATTTCATATAGAGTAAATAATGAATTTTATACCAAATGAAAGTCCGTCAAAAATGAGGTTTATTGATACTAAATAGTAAGGGTTATGAAAACTTTATAATATCGAACTTAAGAAACTTTCAGAAATTTTATACTTTTTTTGCAGTGGAAAAGTAAGATGCCAGTAATTCAAAAATAGAGTAAAATATTTGTCTTGGATATTTTTACATGGTTCGATAGAGCTCATCGAGCTCTACAAAATTGTATGTATGAAAAATTTTTAACCAGAGCTGTTGGGTTAAAATTCACTGAAAAACTGCTTAAAGAATGTACCAAAAAACCTACAGTTTTTACACTTTTTATAGGGGAAAAAAGTGGTCTTTTTTACACTAAATTCAGCTGTTTTCCATTAGTATCCTTATGTAAGATGTTTGAAAATATACTCATTCGATGCAGTTTTTCACGCTCCATCGAATAAGTATATTTTGAAATGCCGGAGGGAGTAAAAATAATCAAAAAAAGCTAATTTTATTGAAAATTCGAATATTTTTCTTCCATATCCAAAATATGACTTTTTTAAACGTTTTTTAAGATTTTCCAAATAGTTTTTTCAAGTTTTTATCACAAAAAAATGACTCAAAAAATTTTTCATATATACAGTTTTTCAGAGCTTGATGAGCTCTATCGAACCATGTAAAAATATCCAAGAAAAATATTTTACTCTATTTTTGAATTACTGGCATCTTACTTTTCCACCGCAAAAAAAGTATAAAATTTCTGAAAGTTTCTTAAGTTCGATATTAAAAAGTTTTCATAACCCTTACTATTTAGTATCAATAAACCCCATTTTTGACGGGCTTTCATTTGGTATAAAATTCATTATTTACTCTATATGAAAGTATAGCGGTACCCCCCTATCAAAATATTATTTCCCACCTAGTACATAGTATGAATCAAAAATAGAACTGTTTTTTTTTCCTTTTTTTTATCTAATGTATATTCCTATGAGAGTAGATAAATGATTACTGAAAATAAATAAGTTGATGACATTATCAGCTGTAATTGCATTTCTGTTTATGTATCTCTGATACACTTTTGCTTCTATTTTGTCTTTCTTCATTTTAATCTATATGTTTATCGTTCTATTTGTCATCCATAGATTTTACGCCCAACAGCGTAGGGTTGGAGATGAATTTAAGGGTAAACAAGACGAGTAATGAAGACAAATTGTGCATTGCTTGATCGTTACTGCTATTCGTCTTTCTCTCTTTTTATCTTTAGTTGTTTTTCTATGTAGTATTAGAAACAGATGCTTCATTACTTTTAATAGAATAAAACATAGCGAGGAAGTAGAAGAAATAAGATAATTTTGTGCACTTGCATTAATAATATTCATCAACCGTCAACAATACGATAGTCTTCTTATATATTCGATTGGGTGAAAAATAAAATGTCTACTGCTTCTGATGATCGTATCGTGGCTGTTGCTCGTTGGGTCTGCAAAGAGCACTATGGTGTGGATCAATTGGTGACTAAAACTGTCGTCTTGAGAAACTACTTGGTAGCTTTAATGGAAGTTGCTGGTGCCGATGGAGTTTTGAGTGAGCCTGAACGTCAATGGATAATAGGATTGGCTACTATTGTAGGTAAATATCTTCTATCCTAAATCTAGCGAGCACTAATAACTTTCTGCATTAGGAGCTCCGCAAGTGATTTTAGACGATCTTCAGAATTATTAACTGAAAGGTATGAATGAGTTACTCAAAGTTTTTCATGTCGAAGGTGGTCATCCGCATGGAAAATACGGTGGGTTGGCTTTAATCTACGATGGATTTAAAGCAGCTGGCGCAGATGATGAGCTTCATCCGAAGGAAGTGGAAGCTATCTATGCCCTTGGTAAGACACTCGGTATTACAGAAGACCAGTTGAAGCAAATGTATAATTTGTATACAGAAGAAGATCGGCTTCGCCGCAAACGACTCGACATCCTTTTTCCACATGGTACCAAGAATGCGGTTGCCGAAATCGACAACGCATATTGAAAAAATTATTTTATGACAAAATCTCATGTCTAATTCCTTACTAATAAAATAAATGTAGCTCAGACTTATCCCATTCTAATGCTTTTTTTATGCAGCAGTTATAAAATTTTACCTAATAAACAACTAGTTTCAATATAGTCCTAAGGGTATGCTATCCTTCAATTCTATCTGAAATGCAAAAAGTCTAATCGAATTAACATGAGCTACATAACATACAAATAATTCCAGTATGCAAAAAAAAAACAATAGCATTACATTTTCAAAATCGGATCATTATAATGGAACGGCTCAAGCATATCGGTCGGAGAAAGAACAAGACTATCTCTACATTTGGATGTCTTTTCGTATGTGGCTCTGTAACGTCGGTTACCAGGAACTCAATTTCTTTTACAACAGAGTGCGGGTATCGTGTGAATGTGGACCAATAAATCACCATTAATCACACACGTACATTCACACCCTTGAAAGCGTAATCGGTAGTAGTCACGATACAATCATTAGCATCAGCAGGCACCTTACTTTTCACCCAATCGAATACATAAGAAGACTATCGTATTGTTGACGGTTGATGAATATTATTAATGCAAGTGCACAAAATTATTTTATTTCTTTGACTTCCTCTCTATGTTTTATTCCATTACAGCGCATCTCAATTGGTTTTCTCTCTTGGTATCTTTTTTGTTTTTATCACTATACTTCTTTTATTTATTAAGCTACTATACATAGTGAGATAGTCCGGGACGCGCTGAATCTTTTGATATATGTACATTAAACATTAAATGCAGTTCAAACTGTAAACGATGTATTAAAAAAAAAGTGGCTTTTTTTTCTCTGTACAAAACCAACTGTCCATAATGTTGTAACATTTTTTTATTTCACATATATCTTGGCTTTTGTAAATGATAAAATCTGGAATTTTTTCCGAAAGATACGCCGTGAAAAGCTCTATAAAAAGTGTATGATTGAATTTCTTTTTATCTGTTTCAACAGTTTTTCTTGTATTCAAAATGAACAATCTACATGACAGTGTCGCTTTCCATTATACGGAAAATGTTTGGAAGACGCTTTTTGTTTTGCATATACCTCGACTTGAGAAAATAACACAACACTGGAGTTTTTTAGACAGGTGTGCCGTCGAAAGCTCTACAAGAGCTGTATGGACTAATTTCGATGGCGAATTAGAATAGTATTCCAAACATTTTCAATATGACGGAGGGGAGCACTGTCATTGTAGGGTGTTCATTTTGAATACAAGAAAAATCATTAAAATTGTATATCTTTATATTAAAATCTCCAATCAATGACTTGTTAACTGTTTATCTCACCGAGACTAACTTCGGCCAAGTTCTGTGTGTTAGTTATAACTGCGACAACATTGCTTGTGAAAGTTATAACTTCAGCACAACACATATACTTTTATTTTCTTGTTTTTTGATAAACATACTTCTTATGTCTCAGTTATCTGTATAACTATCGAATACAACAGGATTGGGAGGAACGAAAAACTAAGTAATTAATTGGCCGAAATAAATATCTTTATTGTTTTCCAAATTCATTTGCGAGCATCTTGGACGTCACACGCACCGGGTGTCATGCGTTGATATGAGTGCCCAGCAAAATAGCATGAATGTATAGATGGCACAAGTATACGAATAATTTTGCGACTCACTGCATATCTGTCGTGTGCAAAAGATGTGACGTACAATCTATTTGTTTTTGATAAATATGGTACGATGATATACTCACGATAAGAAAAACAACAAAATATAAGATTTGGTGGATATCTACCATTGTTTCTTTTAGACTTCTATAAAAATAAGAATATAAAACACAGCTTATAAAAACAAAAAGAAAACATGTTCTACTGTATAGTTTTTGCTACTGTTACTATTTTTACAACTGTTTTAAATGGTAAACCAACAACATCATTGAAAGATGAACCAGAACGTTGTTGTATACCAACACAATTTAGTTCACAATTAAGTACATCAACTGGTATGCTATTGCCAGATGGTACAACATCCACTGCATATGTAAATCATTTATTCCTAAAATAGTTATACTTCGATCTATATTCGATCTATTAAATAAATAGGCATATTATAATTTTTCATATGATTCCGATCTTGGTCTAGTTGGAATGAAAGGTGTATCATTTTCGGTACCCGATCAACAGAAATCAAATGTATGGATTATTGAAAATATGAATGATGGACAAATTTATGCTATAGATGAAGATGCGAAAATATGTTATAAATCAACAATGCCAATTAAACCAATTCATTGTATACCAGGTATATAAAACTTGATCGTTGCTCGTTTATCTTTAACAATACGACTGTTCTTTTTTTGGTTCTACTATAGATACGGCAACTTATGTACATTCATTTACATATGGATATGGTGACAAAAAAATTATTGGCGATACATGGCGTATACAAAAGGACGAAGCAGTTGATTATGTAACAGTTAGTCGTGATGGTCGTTGTATTCTATTGACCGACTCTACTTTCTTTCAAAATCCCGGTAAGTAGGCAGATAAATTTATGTTTTCAATGGATTTTCTCTTTGATAATTTTAGCTCTGGTAGATGCAATGACAACAACAGATTTTGTACCACAAATTGATGATCCAAGTATATTTGATATACCGCCAGAATGTAAAAATGCCGTTTAGCTTGTACTTTATCTCTCGAAACCAGACATATATACTTACATAAAAATTTCTTTTGCATTTGGTTTTTATTATATGTAATTTTCAAAATGAATCCGAACCTTGCATTTAACTATAATAGATAATAATTTCTGTCTGCAAATCTGTTGAAATTATAAGCTGTTTCTTTCCTATAGTACAAGATAGTAGTAATAGAGATCTTTTTTTTAATAATCCAATAAAGGACGAGGAATATTCTAGGTCGATTTTGATCTAATTAGAAAACACAGATAGTTAGGTATGAAACGTTCAGTAATTGTAGAGCATAGAGTTAGTAGTCCGTTCCATGAATTTTAGCTTGATCAGTCAAATTTTTGCCTTACTTTGCTGCTCTACTAGATAGACTCCTAGGTGACCTCTGCGAGTGAGTGTGAGAGCCAAGCATTTCTTGGTTTCAGACAAATATTTACCTTATTACCAAGTCGACTTATATATCATTCGATGGAGAATCAAACTTTTGAAGATGTCGATATCTTTATGTAAGTATTGATTACTCTAATGAAAACTTGTAAAATTTGAAGTTTTATTCTAATAAAAAAATCATAGAGAACTAAATCTATCAGGGATCATTTTCATCTTACTAAGGCTTCCTCATGGACATAACCATGATAAATATGATATAGTATTTTAGATCGTTTAACAAATACTAAAAAGATCAGCTTTGAAAATGAATGATATCACTGCGAAAACTTTTAGGCGAAAAATCCCCGAGTATTATTCCACATCCTTTATTTTTTAATGAATGAGTGGAAAAACTATTTGAAAGCAATCACCAAAGCTATTTAAGATCTCACCATGGTTTCTGTAAGATCCTAATAATGTACCATGGCTAATCATGTATTCTATGTCATGTTTTTGACATATTTGATCAAATGTCTTCATCAGCTTCACTTATACTTGGTGTTCGTATGATGTTATTAAACGTGAAAGAATGGATGATGTTTTTCGTAGT